TTAACCCTCAGATAATTTGATGCCACCCGCAGCAAATTTTCACAATCATGGTATCAGAACAAATTACATAACAACTGCCTCATTAAACTGCCTCAATAACACTGCAGAAAGACAAAGGTTATCACTATGCAAATTTAAAGAGCTGGCTAACCCTTGCAAACATCTAAAATGTCATCATTTAAGACTGCCATGAAAGTCCCTCTAGAAGATAAAAAGCCTTTTCTGCATTTGCAAATATAGTAAAATGTAGGAAACTTGTCATTCATATATTCTCTTGTGCATTCTGAATTTGGAGGACAGACAGTCTGCAGTTTGCATGCATCTGAAAAACATAAAAGAAATCAAAACAGAAAATTGGAAAGATAAAATAGCAAAAATAATTAAACAAATAATAGACCACTCAACATTTAGGTGTTACAACCTGTATCAATGGTTTGACTGGCAAACAGACAAATGATTGAGGAAAACAAACCAATCTACTAAATTAAGACTTCACATTGTGCAAAATGTTTTAGATGGGAAGTCTTAATTTAATGTAAGTCTATCTGAATTATCATATCAAAACTTTAAAATCTGTTCCTATCATGCTCTTCACATATAAAGGATATTGAACCCTCTATATGGGGTGAGAGTAGAGCATACAGGTATATTGGGGATGAGGGGGCAAATGTCAGAGCTTAAAAAAAGTAAGATAATTGGAGAAATTGTGACTTTTGTGTGGCTTTATATGCAGAAAACTGAGTTCCACTATTGGTAGGAATATCGTGACAAGAAAACAGCGGTGTTAGATGTCAAAGGGATCTTCATGAACATGTAGATTCTAAAATTGTCTACAGCTACCCACTCAGAACTTGATGTCTGGTCATAAAATAACAGGCCTTCATTCCCAAAGCTGCATGGAAGTTTTTTTCAGATCGGCAGTCAAATTGTATAAGATTAAAGTCATTGATGAAAACAGAATTGTATGGGGTTGCTCAGGTGATAAAATTAATTTGTGCACTGTAATTGGTTGAGAATTTAATGTTACAGCTCCTTAAATTACACAGCAAAAGGTGATAATGATAATTAAACATTAATTTTCAAAACGTGTGTTGCACGAGTTCTTGGTGTAGAAACTCACATAAGAATAAAAATTCTTCATCAATGATAGAACACTACACAAGTAGGGGAGGAATGGAATATTTTACAAAAGAAAACTGGATACATGCTATTGCATTTACTTGGATAAACTTCAACTTCACAGAAAGACATTTCGCACTGAGTCTTGGGAATGGATCGAAACAAAGAGATTTCTACCAAAGGGCTGTTGGTTACAGCGGATTGTTACTCGTCCCCTAGACAGATAGGTTTAATTTTACATACATACTTTATTAGTATTCCCCAGGGGGCTTTCAATACCAAACAGCAAAGAACATTATAATAAAAAATGAATAAAATTATAAAAAGCGGTCAATTAAACTAATTCTCTAGCACGTGCGTTTTCAACTTTATTTTGAATGATGCTAAAGATAACTGTTTAATGTCTTTGTCTAAATTGTTCCAAATGTTGACTGCTCTATGGAGGAAACGTCACTGGCCTGACTTTGTCTTGAAGGAATATCAAGGGGTTCTCTGTTTCTTGTGTTATGATAGTGAATAGACTTGCGTCTTCGGAGAGACTCACACAAGTATGTGGGGGCTAGGCCCTTCATGCACCTATACAGTGTCTCTGTAGTGGAGATGCTCATTTACCGGTAGCCATTTGATCTTGCGTAACGCAGGTCCTATGCGCTCAGATTTCTTGGTTTTTGTGATGATTCTGCACGCGAAATTCTGAACAACTTGAAGCTTCTTGATGTTTGTGCATGGCAGTTGTGTTTGACCAAACTGTAGAGCAATGGAACAATTTGCTTAGGACTAAAGTGGAGATAATCGTGCGTAGAGTGTCCCTATCAAAACTGTTCTTTACCCTGTTTATTTGACAAAGTTTGGTCATGCATGATGAGATAAGTTGATGGATGTGTTGATCATAGATTAAGTTGTTATCTAGAATTATTTCGAGATCCTTGGCACTGGAGACAGGTGTGATCTCTTTCCCCAGGAAAGAGATCGCGATTTCGTTAGGAAGCCTACGCTGTAGTTGTTGTGTCCCGACCATAAAGAACTTTGTCTTTTCAGGGTTGATTAATAGTAGATTTTTACAGCACCAGGCAGCCACTCGTCTTAAATCTTCTTTAAGAACACGTTCTGCAGATTCGGCATCTTTGACTGGAAAGGATAAGAAGATCTTAGAGTCGTCTACGTACGACTCGAGATTGCATACTTGTGGAGTGAGAGGAAGATCACTGATATAAATACAAACGAAAGTGGTGACAGTATGGCGCCCTGTGGTACGCCATGGGTGATAGGGGGAAGGGTTTAAATGTAGATGTGCCAATACGGACCACCTGTGTTCTGTTGGTCAGGTAACTCTCAAACCATTTCACGGTTTTGTCTCAGCTTCTGTAATAATATAAAATGGCTAATACTGTCAAAACCTTTTGATAGATTTAATAGCATCCGGGCTGACAGTCCCTTATTGTCCATAGCATCAAATAAGAAGTCGCTGATCGTAATACTAAGAGTCTCTGTAGAATGGTGTTTACGGTTTTCTTTGAAGCAACGGTAAGCATCGAAAGGGGGCGATTATTTGATGGCTCCTCGTGATCACCGTCTTTCAGTAGTGGTATGACCTCAGACGCTCTCCAGGAGTTAGAAGTTGCGAAAGAACAGTTGATGATGTCTGTCAACGGGCCAAGAATAACGGGAAGGCAGTCTTTGATGATGCGCATGCTGACTTTGTCGGGGCCTGGAGACTTATTAGAAGGCATAGATGATACAATACGTTCGACCTGCGTACAGGTAACAAAGGTGAAATTAAATAGTTCCTTGAATGAATTTCTGGTCGTTGGTGGTGAAATTAGGCATGTATCTGAAATATTGATGTTGTTGTCTATGGCCAACTGTGCCGCAGATTGAGCAGTGTTTCTCCCACCAGAGGAGAAAATTGGTTGAAGTCGTTAGCAACTAGCTTAGTGTCTCCTATAGACCGGAGTTTCTTTTTCTTTGGATGGAATACAACTATTGATTATTTTCCACAGAGGTTATCTTTGTGTGATTGGACCTCTGTGCGGATGTGGTCACACTCGGCATTCTTAAGAACTTGTTTTACAGATCTCCGGGCTTCCTTGTACGCCTTCCAGGCGTCTACATTTCGGCTTTGTCGGTAACGATGAAAAAGCTGATCTCTAAAGGTCATCTGATCCTCAATTTCAGTTGTTACGTAAGGGCAGGGACGAATGCGAATTCTGATCGACTTAATTGGTGCATGAGCGTCCAGTGTGGAAAGAAAAGTGTCATTAAACGTTGCGAGTTTATAATTTATATCTTCCTCTGAAAAAATTGAAAGAAATTTGTCACACTTGGCTGCTAGGTCTGCAGTAAACAGATCGGGGTTATAATGCTTGTAACTCCTTGTTGAGAGATAACATGGTGGAGGTTTAGGGAGTTTCAGCTGTAACTCCATATATACAGGTAAGTGATCACTAATAGGAGTGTTTAAAACGCCACGCGCGTGGACGAGGTCAGGAGATGAGACTAAAGTGACATCAATCAGAGATTCGCCGGTGTCTGTTATCCTTGTTGGTGTTGTAATTATCTGCTTCAGGTTAGTCTCACACAAAAAGTTAGACAAAGCTCTGCTCTCTAGGCTCTTCTTTAAGACGTTACAGTTAAGGTCTCCTAAGACTGCAATGGGCTTTTTCATGGTAAGTGCTAGAATGTGACTCGGTTTCAGCAACTCTTCAAAACAGGACAGCGAACAATCAGGCGGTCTGTAGGATATGCAAATCACGACTGATCGCAATTTCCTGTATTGCAGTTTTAGCTAAAACTGATGGAAATAATTATCAGATAAATGGGAAACTATGATTTCCTTCAGTATAGTGACTGTAATGTCTTCGCGAATATAAGCACAGACTCCCCCGCCGCGTTTACGTAAAACAAAAAGATTCCAGCTATATCTCAGGCATCTGCAGTTTAGTAACTTTTACATTCAAAGACTACAGAAGACTGTATTTTCAAGCTGGGTTGAAAACTGTCTACCTCAGCTATCGGAGCTATTATGCCTCAGAGACATACAAATTTTATTGAGATTCTCTCTTACTCGTTGTCGCTAACTTGTTACTTTGCAGAACACGTGTAGATTTTCCTCTAGTACAAAAATCACTGAGACACGAAGTGGACCTCAATTTTAGAATTGCATTCCCTTTATCTTTCTCTGGCTCACCCAACCATAGCCTTATTTGTTGTCAATGCTCCTCTCAAACTGCTCTTGTCAAAACTGGCCAAAAATCACCTAGAAGCAAAGAAGGAATTGTAATTGGGGTGAAGCTTGTACAGAGTAAATGTTTCTTAATTCAATCCAGGTAGGAATGTTAAACATTGCCACACCTTAGAGTGTCATTTTGTTATATTTCATATTGACTGAGTATGCACTAAATCTTAGGATGTTGTGGAAGCTATCATAGTGAGTTGGTGTGGTTACAGTAAATTTGTGAGACTATTCCAACAAAATTAAGATAAGATGCAAATGTTTGTACCTTAAACTCTCGTAAACAACTCTCTATAACTGTGAGCTAAGTGAGCTAAATCCACCAATCACAAATTTGATTACATTAACAGCATAGCAACAACCATTTCATTAACCTTCAAAACTTGGGAACTTCAAAAGCCAATTTAAAACTTTGCGTTTTGCTTAAATTGTCAAAGATTGTGATGGTTATATTTTGGATGTTTTAGATGGAAAGCCCCTAATTATTTGTTTTGTTTTGTATTTTTGGAAATTTTCAAGATACACGTAACCATTATAATCAATTGGTGACAGGTCCAATTGGGTCTGTAATCATACTTATGATTAACAAATCCAACTCCTGCTTCGGGTTGTCCAATTTTGTAGTCACTCACATGATTACAAATGAAACTGAACTGACCACTTGGACTTTAATTACCATTTCTTGTAATTCAAGGCTAATACTACTTCTGCTGACTCTACCAAACATGACGTAAGAGAGATATAAATGTAATTCAACAAACTCTAACAAAATTATTCTGTTCTTCATACAGGTGCAAATCAACCTAGCCATATAAAAACCTACTCATCCAGGTCTTCAAGCACCACTGGCGGCATGATCCTTTTCATACTAGCCCTCCTGGGTAACTGTGCCTTTGATCAATGCAAAAATGGCACCACATCTCCTGTTCTCAAAATCTACCCTGCTCTTCTCTTTTTTTTAACAAGTAAGAAAATAATATATATTTGGACTGTCTTCATTTCATCAACAGTAATGGAATATGTGTTGTGCAATACTTCTTTAATCCTGTGTTTCACCCTTCTCTTACAGCAGTAAATAGTGACATTCATATACATGGCTGTTAAATTCAAAATCAGTTTGTAAACAGTGAATAAACCTGAAAAAGCACATGATTCTCTTAGCAATAGACTTAGTCAATACTTGGATTCTCTTGCAAATGTAGAGGAGTTCATTAACTGTAATAATAAATGGTAATTGAGCCATGGAGGTGTAATTTGATCTGAAAACAAACAAAGCGCAAACCAGCGAAAAAAAAACCAAAACAGTGTATATAGAGTAAAACTAAGTCCACATGCCAAAATTCAACTACTTCTGAACACTTTCAAAAATGGCCGAAAAATCAAGGGGTCGTTCTTGCTCTGAGCCTTTCAATTTTCCTTCTTCAAAACCAAAAAAAGCTACGAGACTTCTCTGATGTTAAAACCCAGAGGTAAGCAAACGTCTACATAGGTATTAAAGAATGGCAGAACAGTTTATTTTTAGTTGACAGTGGTCTTCTTTCTTGACTTTGCCTCCAGACAAGTTATTTTATTTCTGAGTGCAATCTTTAGAACAATATCAGAAGGCAGGTCTGGAAACTTCTTTGCACTCTCTAACTGGTTATCTTGTGAAAAGAGTGCTCAGTTTGGTGTGACTGCAAGTTCATTAAAAGGCTGCAGTAACACCAAAACCCTTTTAATGACTTTTTTTTTTCTTGGTAATACAAAGTGAATAGATGGTGTTCAATGGGGTGTGTATAAATAATTGAAATAAATGCTAGTCTGTCAGAATCTCTACTGTAAGGACCCTAAATTTCACTCAATCTGTGATGATATATAGTTTTGTTGTTGTAATAATTAGAAAAGCATATTACTCTTACATGATGTCTTTCAGCAAAAACCCTTGACACTTTTCCTGGTCTGAGGGCATCACTCTTCTAAAGTCTTCCTCTTCTTCTTGTACCACATGTTCTTTCCTTTGGACTTCCTTTTCTAAAGTCTAAGATCTGAAAGACAAGGCTTATTTGCATAGAGTTACTGTCACAAACTAAAGGACTCAAAATACAAACCAAATTTATTTCAAAACCTATGCAGACATTCATTTTTCTGCTTGATGCAAAAACAGTACTGCAGATCAGTCTGGTTGATTGACCTTTGTGTCTCAAGTAACATATTAAAAAATATATAGATATTTTTACAAGGATGCTGGTTTCATTTGGCAGTTTTGGAATTATTGACCTCCCTTCAACTGACAACAATTTGCTAAGGTGTAGAAAGCAAACAATTTTCTTTACCAAAATTTTCCTCATCATACTCCTTGTCATCTTTATCCTCCTCCTCCTCCCCCCCCCTGGAGGGCCCTTGCACCATGCGACGCATTTCTTGAAATACTTCCTCTTGTTCTCTCCTTTCTTGTAAGTTTGGTTCTTGTACCACACGTTCTTTCCTTTGTATGTTCCTTCTCCCTTCTCTCAAGTTCACCCCTCTTTCTCTCAAGTTCCTTCTCTTTTCCTTCAGTATCTCTCCTGAGCTTGTCAACAATGACTATGGACCTATTCAACTGTGACATCTGCCCAAGGACGTTCAAATCTCTTTCATCTAGTGCCTTTTTCTTTGGATTTTTTTCCATTTTTTTCTCTTCTTTCTCCTTTACAGTTTTCAACTTGTCTTCCTGGGTTTGATCGTTGGAAACAGAAGGGCCTTTCCTCTTATTTTTCTCCCCTGCTTGTTTGTCTTTCTTCTCCTTTCCGGCTGATCCTGATGATCCACCTTGTTTCTTGGCTGTTGAATGTATGACATTTTTTGTCTTTATCAGCTGGTCTTTATCTTCTGTTAGGAGAGAAGAAACACCCAGCTAAATAACCAAGCCCTTGGTTCTACTTAATAACAGTCTTTTAAAAGGTACAATACAAGTTATTACATTTTAATAACAAGTCTTGATTCAATTATCTACTCAGTAACATTCAAAACAGGACCCCCTTTTCAATCCAACACCTTAGTATCTAATTATGGATCATAGAGACCCTGACAAACCCTTCACCCAGGAAAAAACAATGCAATGTTTAAGGTCTTGGAGCATATATCTAGCCTGAAATTAGGGCACATTTTAGCAACAACCATAAATTCTTCCTTGCGTGCATGGTCACATGCAAAGTCCTATGTCTTATGCAAGTGGTCTTAAGTCTATGCTTACCTTTGCACCTATTTAAAGGTGGCAGGATCAGCTTTCACTAATTGTCTTTACCCCTGATATTTCACTTACCCTTATAGAAAGTGTGTGTGAAGTTCCCTAGAAAATGCTTGTATGGTTTCTTATTACCTTAACCGAAGTAAAAGCTGTGCAAACTTACCACTTTCACTGAGCACCACACAGGGGTAATATCTCTTGTCCACATACATAGCTTTGGTCGTACCATCATCTTTCCTTTAAATTTTGCTATCAGTCACAATGAACTCTACACTATCCTCAATAAACTGAACCAGGGAATACTCTGAAAATGGAGAACAATGTTACAGTTAACTCAGCCATTAGGTCAAAAGGGAAATTATCTTATAATTCGATTCCTTCAAGGGGAATTCTCCTTGTGGACCATTCATTACCCAATGACCACAAGGAGGTGTTGATGTTAACAATTATTTTCAGTGAGATTAAAACGTTTTAACGCAAATAGATCGACTTAAATTAAGCACTTAACTTCCTTCAGCTGGCAGTTCGGGTTTTTTTTCTCTTCATACATTGTAGCTGAAAGTACTAAAACATGGAACGACCTAAACCACCTAAAACCACCTACAACCACCTCAAAAATTTCAACAACGACCTACAACCACCTCAAAAACATCTACAGCCACTCGCAAACTAACTAAAACCATCTAAGACAAGGCATAAATGTCATAAATAAGACGAAATGACAACATGTCACATACATGAAATACAAGAATCGAACAAAACCTCCACCATCCCCCAAAATCTTACTCTCCCTGGTCCCATGTATAATCAACTATCTCACGAAATGAAATGCAAGAAGAGTATGTCAATTTTATTTTTTATTACCTCAATAGTAAAAGACCTCTCGCATTTCATTTCATGAGATGGTTGATTATAGATGGGACCAGGAGGTGGAGGTTTCATTCGATTCTCGTATTTCATGTATGTGACATGTTGTTTCGCCTTATTTAATACATTTATGCTTTGTTTTAGATGGGTTTAGACAGTTTGCGAGTGGCTGTAGATGATTTGAGGTGGTTGTAGATGGTTGTAGGTGGTTTTAGGTGGCTGTAGGTGGTTGTTAAGATTGTTGTAGGTGGTTGTAAGTGGTTGTAGGTGGTTGTAAATGGTTGTAGATAGTTGAAGATGGTTGAAGATGGTTGTAGGTGGTTGTAGGTGGTTGTAGATAGTTGTAGGTGGTTGTAGATGGTTGTAGGTAGGTTGTAGGTGGTTTTAGATGGTTGTAGATGGTTGTAGGTGGTTGTAGATGGTTGTGGATTGTTTTAGGTGGTTGTAGATGGTTGTAGGTGGTTTTAGGTCGTTCCATGTTTTAGTACTTACCACTGATACTCTGATCAAGATGAATTGCAACTGTAAGAAGGTCGTGCTCAGAAGAGATGTACTGTCATAATTGAGAAGAATGTTCAATAAACAACGGGAAAAACGACGACGATTTCCAAATTATCCTTCACAAAATTATGAAGAAAAACGAGTAGTGCTGAAATCTAGGAGCACGGAACGAAATGGCAGCGACACAAATCAAAGAAAAATAAATATTTAGTGGGCTTCAAACTTTCATAGATGAATCAGCAGACTCAAGACTAAACTGGAATGGAATAATTTCAAAGTTTGATAGCCCATGCGGATTTATATTAACCACTTACTTGCCGTATCTATAATTATCCTCTATTTTCGCTTGTAACATAACTCTCCTAGAAGATAATTTCGTTGTCCTTAGAGTGGTCTTTAAAACCACTGGATAACTGTTCCCGCGTGGCTCGGACAAAATGAGCAGATAATGTCCATTATACAGTAAATGGTTTGAACCCGGGGGTAACATGTAATAGTGTAGTTTGAGCGTCCGGATGAGTGTAGTCCTGAGAAGGACTGTTGTCGGTAGTGGTGACTGACGTTTCGACAACCTGAGCGGAAGTCATCATCGGAGTCAACTTCCGCTCAGGTTGTCGAAACGTCAGTCACGACTACCGACAACATTCCTTCTCAGGACTATACTCATCCGGACGCTCAAACTACACTATTAAATGTCCACTATGTTTAAAAATTCTGCTATGTCTCGTACCAATCTTCTGCGCTTGCGCTCTTTAGTGCAGGTTTTCCGTTTTTTAGGGTGGCCTGCGTGGCAACCACAATTTCCGTAAATCACCTCACTGCTTGAATTTATACTCCATATCAAACTTGTCTCCCACTAACGTGAACATTTGCTTAAATTTGTGTCCAGTCTGGCGCGGCCAAAATTTTTCCGTATTGCGCAAGCGCAAGAGGTTAGACGGCGGCGATGGCGGCAGTGAGAGTTAAGAGGGAGATCATAGCACCAGAACGATACCCGGAAGAAGTCTTTTCATCGAAGCTTTGCCGAAAAAAGACAAGGGTAAAAACAACCGACCGTAAACTATATCCTGTGGTTATAACAGACGTGGACAAGGTCGGAAAGCGAGTTAAGATCCATTACGTTGGCTACA